CAACAAACGATAGTCACACAGCCGGTTGGTTTTCGTCTACCTATTGATTGTTTAAATAATTACATTTCCTGGTCTCAGTCTAATCCATTTGTTTTTAATTTTCATGTTTCGCAATTTGTTAATGGGGTCTTGTTTCTGAAGATGAAAAAGCTGTTGGTAATTCCTTGTTTGTTCCGCCTCATCACTGCCATTGCTTTTTGGTTCAAACATTTCTGGAAAATTCGGGAAATGTCCAATTTTGTAGAGACTTAGTTATTCTCTTTCCATTTAATCTGAATTCAATGAATTACCCAAGTTTTTTGTTTGTTTTCAAGTTTGGATCTCGAAAAAGATGAAGCGCAGATCAGGAAACTGAAGGAGGCAAATATTTTTCACTTCATTTAAATTTAGCTTCACTTTGAGCACTTTAATCGAAATTTTATACTTATATATTGACGATATTTGATTGACGATGTTTGATTTTTGAAATTCGAAATTTCGGCATAGCCATGTTCTCGTTACTAAGCAATCCATTTTGAGGATAATCTAATAATAGGGAAAGCTCAGCTAACATTCGCTCCTTTTACCTCTATTTTTTATTCTATAATCTGATTTGTCTGTCCATCTGCTCTGCGTCTCAGTTAAGTCTAAAATACTCCAGGCTCCGACGAGCATCTTCATCTCGGACTACATCGAGAAGCCTCCCTTACCAGTATCTAAATCACCAGTTCCAGTAGCTGAAACACCGCCGGAAGTTAAGGTAGGGATAATTTTCTGTTACTCTGAAAGGGCAACAGGTTTTGCTTTTGCAATTCTTTTTTCTTTTGTCATCAGGTTATAGAATTACACCATTTCCAGGAAAAGGAACGCATCAAAGCTGAAGAGATCACATGTGAACTGCAGCCCAGTCCAACTCCTCCGAAAAAAGCTGGTTTGTTGCTTAATTCTTGTTCGAGATAAGATTTATGGTTTGGAGACAGCGCTATCTCCTATTCGAGACTTTCCATGAGGTCTAATTAACTTTCGATTCGCTTAACTATCATTAGAAGTTCTTGGTCAAGTTCGAAGTTGCCTATTCTTTTCATAGATTT